TGTGCACATGTGCAGAGTTGCGAGACGAAGGGAACAGTTAAAGAACAGGGATCGACTTGAGAGTAAGGCCACAGTTGGACAGTGAATGGCCCCACCCATAGGCAATAAAAGAGAAGTGAAAGGGAAGGGGTGTGCAGGGGGCAATTAGTTCATTCCTGCGTTCTTGCCAAGTATTGCAGCATCTGAAAGATATTAACCTGGCCACTCTCCAAGGCTGATAAAGGTCGGTAATTGTGAACTGTCTTGAAAGACTGTGGGAGAGGAAAAACTTTGCTGGAGAGGAATTCACTGTAAATTAAATAAAAGGGTTTATTGGGACAAGGATTTGGCTTTGTGCTGCTGGGGAAGCCGAGGTCAGAACACTGTACAAGTTTTTTGCTGAAATATATCCAAACCTGGTCTTCTATGATGTAATATAGCTGCCTATTATAACCATATATTTTTATTTTTTAATGAGAGCCGAGGTGGCGCAGTGGTTAGGGTGCAGTACTGCAGCCACTTCAGCTGACTGCTAGTTCTGCAGCTCGGCGGTTCAAATCTCACTGGCTCAGGGTTGACTTATCTTTCCATCCTTCCGAGGTGGGTAAAATGAGGACCCAGATTGTGGGGGCAATATGCCGACTCTGTAAACCGCTTAGAGAGGGCTGAAAGACCTATGAAGCGGTATATAAGTCTAACTGCTATTGCTATTATCATTTACTCTGGACTAATAACTTTGACTAATAACCCTCGAAACTCCAAAATTCAGAAAAAGATTCGTGGCTCAGCCAGTAATTTTGCCACATTACATGAAGGACTATGACATTGTGGTAGGTGGGACACAGCTGCCCCATAGATAGGAGGGCTCACCTTCATCCAGATACTGAATTCGCTGGAAATTCACTGGGATCCCAACAAAAAGCTCCAGTCGATTCTTCAATTTACCGATAGTTAAGTCCCGATGACATTCGGGTAAGAAAAATATTTCTTCGGATTCAATTATATGTAGCTTGATATTGAAAAGCCGTAACTGCGGAGAGGAAAGCTCTCCTAAACGCAACTGCCGCTGCCATAAGTTACGTGAACTCGTTCCAGTTCTGGTTTGGGGATATGTGGCAGGTGTCTGTCTTCTTTTGCTTTGCATTCTACGAACAAAGTGGCGGGCTGGAGTCTTTCCACCCAAGAATCCCCAGACACTTTCCACACCTGAATCAATGATGTCATGACAGAAGAACAATGCCTGATAGGCAAGTCACTAGGACGTAGCCAATGTGATGTCATGATGCTGCTAGGACACACATGTGAAAAGTGCCACCTGAGGGCAGCAAGCATAGGTAAAACAAACATATGAGTCCCCAAAGAATCAAGCTCAAGTCAGCTTTCCTCACTCATGCAGCACCCTGTAGAAATTAGCCAATTTGGTCTACTGTCAGGCCTGGAAGCCGTCTTTTACGGCCATCTTTCAGTTTCTAATCTATTTAATACTTGAACGAGCCTTCAGGACTGCCACATTTAATGCTGTGGGAAACTGGGAGGGGGGAGGTTGTATGGAGCTGGGGAGATATATAGCCATAACATTCCTTTCTCAGAGAGTCAAGGACATCCTGCCCTGCACCTGGAGGGGTGTGATTGGGAGGCATCTCCAGTTGAGAGGGGGACTTGATTGGACCATGTGATGGACTTGTGGGTGCTGGGCAGGGGCTTGAACTTTTTTTTACGTGGGGAAAACCTGGAAACGTTCAGATTCGGGTTTTCCCAGATTTGCCAATATGACATCTCTAATAAAATGGAACTTTGAGCCTTGAATTCTTACTTTATTGGAGGTGTTATTGCAACCCTGACATTTAAGGTATCAAGTTAGAAATGAGTTTTAGTCCCATCTTAGCAGTGAAAGCCAGCTGGGTGACTCTTGGGTCAGTCCCTCTTTTGTCAGCCCAACTCACCTCACAGGGTGGTTGTTGGGGGGCGGGGGGGGGATAGGAGGCAGGAGTACAGGCAGTCCGCAATTTACAACAGTTCATTTAGGGACCATTCGAAGTTACGGCAGCCCTGGAAAAAGTGATTTATGACCATTTTTCACACTTAACGACCGTTGCAGCATCCCCATGGCCGTGTGATTTGTATCTGGATGCTTGAGAACTGTCTCACATTTATGACGGTTGCAATGTCCCAGAGTCATGCGATCGATCCCCTTTTGTGACCTTCTGGCAAGCAAAGTCACTGGGGAAGCCAGATTCACTTAACAAACGGGTTGCTAAGTTAAGTACTGCAGTGATTGACTTAACAAATTGTAAAATAGGGCAAAACTCAACAAATTTCTCACAACAGAAATTCTGGCCTAAATTGTGGTCGTAAGTTGAGGACTACCTGTATTAGACATGTTCGCCATGTTGAGCCATTTATTAAAAAATAATAAATGTGGGATATAAATAAGTGATACAAAATGCTGATTAATGCTGTGCTGTTTGCTAAATGATGTCCGAAAAGAATATGCAGTAGTAAGTAGTAAGTACACTCAATAAATAATTGATAAAACAGTGGTGGAATTTATTGATATAAATAAGAATAGAAAGTTACATAGATTCTTACAAAATCAATGGCACATTCAGACTCTATCCAACTATTTGGATTCTAACCACCATTCTTTACAGGTTTAACTACTACAGCAGAATTGCAACTAAAGAGTTGTAACTATGTTGCCACAGATAACACCAGGTTTGATTTCAAAATGAAATCCATGCAGCTTCTGTAAGAAGAGGTGACTATGTATCAGCTTTAACTCACTGTGAGGATTAATTACATTTATATTATTTGAAAAAGAGCATGTGACTATCTTCCTTGATGTCCATGGTGTTTTTTCACCTACAGAGCAACCTGCAAAGTACTATCACCTGTCATGCAGTTATTACAAGTAAACAGTTTTTAAGACTACTGTACTGCAGTAGATCCCAGTGCTGATTTATAAGTGGGGGGGTCTAACAGCCATTGTGAAATGAATGATGTGGGTGCAATTATTTTTAACCCAAAGTTAAATAATAAACTGAATGTAAAAAATATATGGGGAACCAAAGCAAGTTGGGAGTGTCCATAATTTTTCCTTCCTCTACTGCATGCAACTATAGAGTTTGAAAACATTCTTTAAATTTTTTTTAAAGAAAATTGTTTAATTTTTAAAAATCCTCAGCTCTAGGAAAAGGTGGTAATTATTAAAAGTTTGATTTGTCATTTCAGTGAAAATTTTCAGCCATTTACTCATGCATAAATGCCAATTAAAGTATTTTCATGAAAACTACATCAACGTCCTCCACGTGTATTTTTGATATTTAGTTGGATAGTGCGGGAAATAATTCTAATCTAAAATTAGCATGGCCATCAAACAACCGTTTCTTTTCAGACATTTCTACATGCATTAAGAAAACATGAAAAAATGAACTTTTTTACAGAAGCAAAAATTGAACAATTTTTTAGAAAAATCTTAACTATTAAAATATCTGTAGGATACTAGCATTAGAAAAAGATAGTGAAACTACAAAAGAACTGTCACTGCAGAGTAACTGCAGACATTAAAAAATCATTTGCATTGAAGAGGCATTTTGTTTAAAACTTACTCAAACACTTAAATATAGAATCAGCTTGCAGAATTTAGTTTACACATTTTTATACTGAAATACCAAAGACATATTTTTAGATGTTCAAAAAACATTTTAGAAACTTGCAAAGTAAATAAGATTATTATAAAATCTAAAAACTGTTTCGCAACCTGGAACACAATCTTTCATAGCATTGTGTCCAAAATGTGTTAAACAATTCTAATAAATTAAATCACTGTCGGGTGTTTTTTTTTTTAAAAAAAAGACACAAACGGACAATACACAGGACAACTACTTATTTGTAACAAGGACATTTAAGATATTAGCTAAATAATCAGGCTTGCAACAAAGCGTATTTTACATATTTTCTAAAGTGATTCCACCATGTTTATCCCAAAATTAAAATCTTTCTTATAGATTTTTGGGATTAAAAACCTTATGTCTATATCAATACACAATTTAAAAACATTTTTAAGAATATTGTTCCATAGCTGAAAAACCGTTAACTCAAGCAATGATCATTTATTTCCGTGAATGATTCCTAGGAGGTGCCTATGTCATATACATTTTTGTTCTGCCAAACAAATCATGCTGTAAGAGGGGCTGTTTTGTGGGGGTTTCGTTCTTACACTAGTACATATAGTAAATTTATTGTATAAGTTACATGTTCGTATCTAACTAGAGCTAGAGGACTCAACAGTATAATCTTTAAACCGGGAATGTTATGTCCATCAGCTCTCACCAGACCACTGTTTTTCAACCTTCATAACTTTAAATACTCCCAGAATTCCCCAGCCAGCTAGTCCAGATATCTGAAAATTGCCAAGGTTGGGAAACACTTCACAGACTGAGTCTCATTGTTTTTCCAAATCCCTTGCATGTATTACTGTATTTTAACAATGTAAAATCAAGATAAACATTGATCTACCTCTTACCCTTTCCTTTTCTCCCCCTTATTTTCCCCCCCATTTTTTACCTTGTCCAAAGCAATTAAGAAAAACTATTATTTTACTTTATTCATAGCTTTAACAAGCAGCTCAGGGATCAAGGCTGGTCTAAGTCAGGGGTCTCCAACCTTGGCAACTTTAAGACTTGTGGACTTCGACTCCCAGAATTCCTCAGCCAGGAATTCTGGGAGTCGAAGTCCACAAGTCTTAAAGTTGCCAAGGTTGGAGACTGCAGGTCTAAGTAATATGACTTCATATGCACATAGTGAGATCAGGGCATTTGCCCTCTAAGTGGTGATCCTCCCACACTAAGTGGAAAGCTATTTCAGAAGGTCTCCCAATCTTCAGAAATAGCTGATCATGGAATACACAATTAGGGAGGAATCTGCAAAACCCAAGGGCTGTACAGATCACTTGATAAAATACTTCATACTGAATTTTCTGTCAATGGGGGGGGGGGGGGAGAATATCTCCAGTATACACACTCAATTCTTGGAACTTCAAACTTATGCTAATTCATATCCCTAGCTTCTTGCTCCTAAGGGAAAATTCTTAAATTTCCTTCTATTGAGCAAATGTTGAGAAACTCCCCAAAACATGTCAGCCCTATTCCGTGGCAAAATCTAACAGTTTATAGGCCTGAGCATCAATCCACCTCCTATGAAATATACCCTAGAAAATATGTAAGGATTTCTTCAGATGTAGCTGAGAACCGCAGTTTTCCACAGAAGACATGCCAGCACCAGCCAAGAGAAAGAATGAGGTGAATAGGAAGGACAAAGAATAGTTCATTTAACTTCCCAGGCTCTGCTAACACTCATGAAACTGTCTGCTATTACCTTAAAGAGAACATTAATCTGTACTTTTACCATATATTTTTTCAAGTTGCAGATTTGTTTTCTTAACTTATTTTTACCAAAGAGCACATTTTTATGCTTTAAATAATGTAATACAATAAAATGGGAATGCCTGTGGTTCAATTAAGAAAAAAATAAGCAGGAGGCCCACGTATTTTAGGTTCACCAACCATGCTCTTAATTTCAGTCAAACCAAGCATTGTCTTGGTTTGTCACTGTAACTTGAGTCAGTGTGAAAGGCATATTCTTAGTTTGCGGAATGATGTTCAAGCTGTGAATATGAACAAGCTCACATAATCATATGAACATATAGCTGGATTTTTGATAAGAGATAAGCATTGCTCCTTGTATTCATGAAAGAACATAATTATATACAAAATTTAAAAAACAAATATTCCATATCAAGGTGGCATGTACATAAAAGGACAAACATGTTTCTCACTTTAATAAACAGAATTAAGAACATGGCCTTTTCTTGCGAATTGCATTATTTCCTTGATAAGAGTTCTCTTCCACCACGTTGGTTAGTAGTCATAGCAGGAACTTGCTAGCTGAATAGTAATTTCATAGACTACATGCACAAAAAATGTTAATTTTCTTTTTCAAGTAACGTGATATGCATGTTACTGAGTTTTGGTTTGATGGTGGCAAAAAACGAAACATCTTGATCCCTATCTGCTTGGAGAACCAAAACAGTCTCTTCCACAGCGTCCAGATGAGGATTCCCGACACTTCTAAAATACGCTAAGAAATTAACATGAGAATATTATTCAGCATCAAAGCATTAATTTACTTTTTTTAAAATGTTCAGTGGGGGGTTCATGAAAAACCAACAATAAAATGCAAAGCACACAAACAAAAGGAATAGGACATACTAATCAAAGTCTTTACAGCAAGGAAAAGCACAGAGATGTTCAGGTTATTAAAGCCTACCAAGTAGTGTAATGTAGTGTAGTGTAGTATAGGGTAGGGTAGGGTAGGATAGGGTAGAGTGGAGTGGAATAGGAAATAATAGAACAAGAAAGAATAGAATAGAAATAGGAGAGGATAGGATAGAAAGTTGCAAGGGACCTTGGAGGTCTTCTAGTCCAACCCCCTGCCTAGGCAGGGAACCCTATACCATTTTCAGACAAATGGTTATCCAACATCTTCTTAAAGACTTCCAGTGTTGAGGCATTCACAACTTTTGGAGGCAAGTTGTTCCACTGATTAATTGTTCTAACTCTCAGGAAATTTCTCCTCAGTTCTAAGTTGCTTTTCTCCTTGATTAGTTTCCACCCATTGCTTCTTGTCCTGCCCTCAGGTGCTTTGGAGAATAGCTTGACTTCACTTCTTTGTGGCAGCCCCTGAGATATCAGAACACTACTATCATGTTATCCCTAGTCCTTCTTTTCATTAAACTAGATATACCCAGTTCCTGCAACCGTTCTTCATGTTTTAGCCTCCAATCCCCTAAACATCTTTGTGGCTCTTCTCTGCACTCTGTTTAGCGTCTCGACATCTTTTCTACATCGTGGTGACCAAAACTGGATGCAGTATTCCAAGTGTGGCCTTAGGAAGGCATTATAAAGTGGTATTAACACTTCACATGATCTTGATTCTATCCCTCTGTTTATGTAGCCTAGAACTGTGTTGGCTCTTTTGGCAACTGCAGCACAAGTCTATATAGTAATATGTTGTAAAAAGGAGTCCCTGTGAATTTTATTACACCAGTTGTTGCAGACTCTTGGTGGTGGTGCTTATCTCTGTTTCAAGATCAGTGCTATCCAAAGACATTTCCATGATCATGTGGCCAGTAAGATGTTATGGAGTGCTGTTACCTTCCCACCAAAGTGGTACCTATCTACTCGCATATGCATGCTTTCAAACTGCTAGGTTGGCAGGAGCTATGGTATAAGAAAGGGGCAAACTGAATCATTTACGGAGATAACTCCACAACCTGACAATTTTATTCTGTACCACATCTTAGGCATTCCACTTTAAATATATCAGAAGAGTCTGGAGAACCAATAAGCAAATCTGCACTGACAAAGATTCAACAGATCAATGACAGAATACACACTTGCAATCAGGAAAATCCCAGATGATTTTTGATGATGTCTTCTTGTTTTTTGTTTTTCAAATTTGGCTGTTTGCTGAGATTGTGGGTTATAATAGGGGAAATTATTTTTGTACCGCATGCTTTGCTTATTGTAAAGAGCTTAAAAGTTTTTAAGTTTTTATTTTATTTATTTATTAAATTTCTACACAGCCTGTGTCACCAAAGTCACTCTATGGATAATGCACAAATTAAAAAAATAAAAACTTGAGGCAAAACTGGAAACATTCTTCTCTTGAAATTCCAAAATGTCATTGCTAATCAGGTTCAATAATACTGGGTTTAGATGAACCAAATTCTAATTCAGATTCAGGGAGCTCAGTTTGGCCAGGTGAATCTAACCAGTTCATGTAACCATCCATTTCTGGCAGAAGGAGAACACAAGGCAGCAATGTTACGGCATCTGAAACTCATGTAATTCTTTTGTTCTTAAGTTTTGCATTATCTATATTCAGAAATTGTAGGTGCTTCATCACTGGAGGTTTCTCAAGAAAAGGTTGGACAGCCACCTTTTTGGAATGGTATAGGGTCTCCTACTTGAGCAGGGGGTTGGACTAGAAGTCCTCCAAGGTCCCTTCCAGCTCTATTCTGATCATACTTTTAAAGAGAATCGCTTAGTGCATATTAGCACTATTACATAATGACAGAACTCAACTACATTTGAAATCTGTTTGCCTACAAAAGGACAAAACATACCTTTCTCCAATAATGTCTGCCTCAATGCTTTGGCAAGCAAAACCCGGACGTTTGGCACAGGATCGGAAGCCAGGCTTAGAAGGCTGGGCAACAGATGTTCAACAAACTGGTCCACAGGCATGCATTCTTCTTCAACTACTGCCTTTAATCAGAAAATAGGAAAAAGCACTACAGGTAGTCCTTGGCTTACAACAGTTCGCTTAGTAACCGTTTGAAGCTACAACAGGCACTGAAAAAAGTGACTTATGACCAGAGCCTCTGGCACAGTGGTTAGAATGCAGTACTGCAGGCTACTTCTGCTAACTGCTGGCTGACTGCAATTTGGCAGTTCGAATCTCACCAGGCTCAAGGTCAACTCAGCCTTCCATCCTTCCGAGGTGGGTAAAATGAGGAGCCAGACTGTTGGGGGCAATAGGCTGACTCTGTAAACCACTTAGAGAAGGCTGTAAACACTGTGAAGCAATATATAAGTCTAGGTGCTATTGCTTTTTTTCACACTTATGACCATTGCAGCATCCCCATGGTCATGTGATTTACAGTCAGGTGCGTGATAACTGACTCACATTTATGACAGTTGCACTGTCCCAGGTCATGTGATCGCCTCTTGCGACTTCTGACAAGCAAAGTCAATGGGGAAGTCAGATTCACTGTGTGACTAATTTAACAACTGCACTCAACAAATACAGCAGTAAAAGTCATAAAATGGGCAAAACAAATTTCTCAGCAACATAAATTTAGGGCTCAGTTGTTGGTCGTACATTGAGGACTTCTGTATTTAGATAGTATTGAGTAAACTGATATGGATTATTGAAATTTTATATGAATTTTGCTAAAATATTAGCATTACTATAGCTAAAAGATAATGATCTTTCTTATGAGACACTGCCTTTAATGAAAATTAAATATGTAGTATTTTAATCACTGACCATGCTAATGTTCATAGATATAACAATTGTGATAGACTTTGTGTATGACTGTGTCTATTCAGATATAACATATCAGACACATTGTACACATGGGAAACCACATGGATTTTACATGGGATTTAAATAATGGCTGTTTCTTGAGACATACTAACGGATCTTTTTATATGTGCTAAAGATGCAAAACAGCCGGATATACCACTCAGCAGTAACATCCAAAATAGCTAATTTCTTGCTGATCTTTGCAGAAAACTTTTGTTGATCTATGCACTCTAATATGTGCACATTGCAAGTCAAATTATCTTGCATCCTCAAAACTTCTAAAAATAGCCTAAAAAGCAGAACACAGTTCATTCCATTGACAGATGGTACAACACAGCGGTGGTACTGAATGTTCAGTAATATTAATATTGCACAGGCAAAATGGAAGAAATTGATTACAGCTATAATGCTTAATAGTACAATTACGTAAAAATAATAATTAGATGTAGAACAAGGAACCAAAGACTTCCTTAACTTTCTTCAGCATCGTGCAAGGTATAAAAGATAGGACACCTCACACGAGGGACCGGTTAGTTTCTGATCCGTTTGATACTCAGAAGGAAGTTTTATCTTTTCTGCAAACAGTTTTGATATTAACACAACCTTGCATCATACCCAGTTCGCATGATATCCATGCAAAGGAGCTTAGGCTGAGAAACTGTAAGCACAGGCTATTTGGTTTTATTTAAAAAGTTGTGTGGCATTTTGTTTAATAAAATACAGGCCTAATCTCAATGCATCATAATTTATACATTAGCAGTTGTGGGATGCTGTTCTGACTCCTGTAGCATTTGCAATGCCCACAGAAGCTATGAAATGAAGAGTTATGAAGCTACTAGTTGACAAATTAGCCTTACAAAGCCAGAAAATAAATCGCACATGGATTTCCTTCAATCCTTAGCAAAAGTTTTATCTAGAAATGACAGAACTTGATTTTTTTATAAAGCTAAACATCCAAAGAGTGATTCCCATTGGTAAGCAATGCAGACATGTGTCATCATGCTTTCAGATCACAATGTTTAGTGACATAAATTCCCATCATAAGTCGAGGACTACCTAAAGGTATAAAATAATCTTCTCCAAAAAAGCTAGTGAGAAGAGAATTATAGAAGAAGAAGAAATCACCCGCTTTATCACGTGTCCCTGTTTATATTCATATGCTGAAAATAACTTCAGAAGTATATGAAAGTGATTTTCCCCCCTTCCTTCCAATTCTCAGAAACTGCCTGGACAACTCCCTGCATTTTTCTTGGCAAGGTTTTTTAGAAGTAGTTTGCCACTGTTTCCCTTCAAGGCTCTCATCTTGGTTATACACCTGAGACTAGATAACCAGAACAAGTTTCCTTGAGACACCTTTCACGTTTTAAAGTTATGAGTGCTCTCCTCAAATTTCAAGTCAAATTTCTCACGCAGGAGACCTAGGGTATGATTAGCTTTAATATCAAAATTACATCAGATAGTTCTGTTCTTTGCTCACATCACAGAAGCTGCAAGACCCAGACTCACCTGGCAGATGAAAGCAAACGCTTGCCGACCAATCCACTTGGAACAATGGCGGAATCTCATAATCAACTCATTGATGAAATTTAATCCCAGAGAGGTTGCATTGTATGCATAGAACTTCTGAAGTATTGCTACAGCCTGCAAAAATATCAAAGAATCAAGCAGGAGCAAAGACAACAGTGTTATAAACTACCATTCCCACAGCAAGTATCACTCGTTACACATTTGTCTCCTGCGAATCTCTATAAATAAATATTATTTTTATGAAATTTGAGGGGGGGGAATACTGAAATAGGTTTCTAGCATTTAAAAATTGACTTGTTAAGCCAAGTGGCTATTTCATGTAGAAGAAAAGGAGACAGGCCGGTGCTTTACCAATTTGAAGGAGATCCACCGGACTTCAGAAACTTTATCTGAACAGAGTGTTAGTGCAATAAGTCTCAAATGGTCGTACACATCATTGGGATTATAAAGTTCAAGTATTAAAATGAGCTGCCTAAAAGAAAAAGAAAAAAGAATAAATTATATATGTTCCTGCTTTTAGCTGAAAATGCAGTTAAGTCTGGAAAATAACATGATTAAGGAACATCATTAGCATTTTGTAGTGGCTTCTTCCATACGTTTTGCTTAAAGAATCATTTACAGATCAATTAAGATCTGTTAGCTGCCAGCAGTAAGGAGAATATAATTTAAGAACCTAAAGGATCTTGAAATTGTTCATCCACCCATCCATTAAATAAATATATATATATTACTTACTGCTGGTTATATATTTTTTAAATTTTGTATTTTTCACTGGTGAAATACCTGTAACTCAAAAACCAAGCTTGAACAACTCTTAACAATGGAAGATGCCAACACTGAGCTACATATATTCATTGCTATTGCAAGAAATATAAGGCCATGCTTGTGCCATATGGGCACCTACTAATAAATACATTTACCAAGTAATTGACTACAGTAATTTGAGAAACTAATTTGATAGCGCAACACTGACATAAAAGAAAATTTTACAAGGTTTTGCCAGTAGATGTCAGCAATGTTCTAATATGTTACACCATCAGAATTTGCAGTCAACATAAAATTAACCAAATTATGCAACAGTAGCACCAAATGCACCGGAATATAAGGAAGAAACTTGTTTCAGTTACAAAATGTGAATCACAATCGAGTTCAATGTTTCTTTGAATTTTGCTTATATTGCAACAAGTTTGCCAAAAAAATTATGAGAAAGTAAATTTTGTTGCTGTTGTTGTAATTTATTAGTGTGCCGTATCTTGTGACTTTTGGCAATTAACAATAATTCAGTGTTGACTTATCAATGGAGGCTATTCCAGAAGGCTTGGGCCACGCATGAGAACAGAACACATACAGGCACCCCACATCAGCCATACCAGACCGAAATGTAACATTATCAGCAATATCTTCTGAAAAATGCACCCTGAGGGGATTAGATCTAGTTGGTGGAATGGTCCTGCAGGTTAAACCAGCATTTTTAATTGCATCTGGATAACTGTCAGAGGCCTGAACATTAGTGTAATATAATCATGCAGGGCGTTGCATTCTAGAGCAATTGCAGTTTCTGAATGGTCTCCAAGGGCAGCAATGTCAAATGCATTACAGTAGTCCAGGCAAGTACCGAGAATAGCACATGTCACTGTAGCAATGTCCTCCTACTCAAGGCAGGGATGAACTGGCAAGTGAGCCAAAGCTAGGCAAACAGTCTCCTGGGTATAGCCTGCATCTACCTCCAGCAATAGCTATCAGTCCAAGAACCCCCCCAGCTGAGCCTCGGGTTAGTGATATATAATTGCTTATCATCAGCATATTGATGATTCTATTCCCCAAACAGTTGGATGACCTCACCCAGCAGCTTCATGTAAATACTTAAAGGTTTTGGGGGAGAGGGGAGAAAAATCAAACCTTACAGCAGCAATTTTTCTTCTTTTTTCTCCCCCACTCACCGTACCAATTGGAATAATCCATTCAGGAAGGAGCAAAATGTCTGAAATTAATACCTCCAATCCTCATTTCTCACATGTTGTCTAAGATTCCCTGGCCGATGATATCAAAGGCTGCTGAGGGATTTAGTAAACTCAGGCCCTGACAAAGAGTGACCAATGCCATTTCAGTCCCAAGCTCAGGCCTGAGCACTGAAAAAGGCCCAAGTAATTTGCTTCCCCCAGGACACTGTTTTAATCATGCCTTCTATGCTTGAAGATAAATGACACATCCATTAAACAATAAGCGTATGGGGAAAAAATCAGAGGAATCTTAACTTACTCTGCAAGTTCATAACGAAATCGCCAATTCCTGCTATTGTCGGTTACCACAAATTCTTGAAGCTGAAAAAGGTATTCACGTCTTTTTTCAGCATGAAGCAACTAAAAACAAAACAACACAAAACAATATGTCTGACAACTGATTTTCCTTTTGTCTGAAGACACACACAAGGCTTGATGTTAATCTAACATCTGTGAAACATAAAAGGCTTATTTCATAGAAATACTTCATTCGCAGTACAGGTAATCCTCAATTTAATACTGTTCATTTAGTGACCATTCAAAATTATAACGGCACTGAAAAAAGTGATAGGGATTTTTTTGGGGATAAAATGACTACTGAAAAAACCTGTCTGTATGGGACAGGGATCATTAAACATGCATAAAATCCAGGAATATAAATGTGGGAGAAAGTGCTCCTTCAGGTAACTTGGTCTTAAGCCAAAGATCAAAACCTAAAATGAGTCTGGAAATGAATCTGCAAAGAACTGATACCACAGATAGCCTTCAGATTACAACTATTCATTCAGCGACCAAAGTTATGATGGTCCTGAATGAATAGTATTGTCAACCCTGAAACTGGCTTGACTGAGGCCATTTTGAGACTTCAGCGTTGATACACTAGAAAAGAGGGACAGGGAGTTGGGATAGAGATAGTTGGGGTGTTGTAGTCAAAACAAAATATTTTCTCTTGGGAACCAAGGACATTCCTGCAGGTGCTCGGCAGGAGGGGCCTAGAGTCACCTAGCAACTGGACAGCGTCCTGGTTGGACCATGTGACTGATTGTTTTGAGAAAGTGAAAAACTTTTAATTACATGAAAACCATGAGAATAGTCAGAGTCGGTTTTCACCAGCCTGTACCAATATAACAGACAATAAAATTATTCTTTGAGGAATCTACCTGCCTCAAGAGTTTTGTTTGCTATGGGTATCCCTGCAATCATATAATCCTGATTTTTGCCCACCCACAAGCAGTTAATAGGAAAGCCAACAGGCAATTGGAAGTTCAAAGACCCTTGTTTAAGGATCCACATTATTCCTATTTAATGAGCTCCAAGGTCCCTTCCAATTCTGTTATTCAGTTAAAGTATCAAGAGTGGTGGGGCTACTGGAATTGCCATCACTAACATGCTTTAGGACTGCGTCCCTTAGCAATGGCTTTTCTGATCCCAATTGCTACTGTAAGCTAAGGACTGTCTGTATATATGTATATATATATATATATTTGTACCAGCCAATCCCAGTGAGCATCCCTATTGTGAACTGAGGTTTCCAGACCATTTTCAAAGCAGACCCATGCTCAGGAACTGCAATAACCCAAGCAGGAAATTGCCAGAGCATGAATGACTGCCGTGAGGCTCTCTCTAAATCTAGGTCTCTTCTTAGGAGAGAGGTCAGTAAAACAGAACAAATGTGAACTATCCCTACCTTTAAGAAATCATAAAGATGTTTGAGGATTCCAATGCGTACTTCATCCAGATCTTTTAAGAAACCATTGAAAATAGGCACTAAATCGGCTGCTGTTAGCTGATCTCCCAGAATTACAGCCAACTCGTGAATGGAAAAAGCAAGCGTGCGACGGACTTTCCACTGAAAATAGTTCACACAAATGGGCAGAACAGTACAGAACACAGTTGAGTAAACACAATAAGATTAAAAGAATATTTAAACAAGACAAACCTAACGTATGCAAATTTACAGTGCTACCAAATTGCCGATAAAATCTTTTTCTCTCAGTACTAGAACCAAAGATAATTCAATGACGCTGAATAGTGGACAATTTCTGACTAGTAAAAGGATAAACTTTTCCACCTAAAAGTATTGAAATCCTGATAACTAAGTGAAACAGTCAAAAAAAAATTATTTTACGTTATAGTGATTATTTTAAAAATAGCAAAGATGGAAAGTATATACCAGTATTACTTTTTATCTGCCTGATGAGGAAGCAGAACTGTATGTTCAGTATTAATATTTCTGATGGGATAGGTACCATTTGCGGTGGAGGGGGGGGGTGACATGTAGAATTTTGAAAACGTAACATAGACAGTTTCGCACAATGGGTATTCATGATGGGTATGACCAATCAGAAAACACTAATTTACTAGAAAGCAAAGTTAAGACTATCTCGGCCATAATATGTAACCTCCAACCCCTCCTCCTGAATGTTATGTAATTCGGTCCTTTTTCTCTGGGAGGACGTGACATTTTCTTATGACCTTCTCTTCATAGAGGTTTTGGTCCAAAAATTAACTATTTAGAAAAGAATATATGTAGCTCAAGGTTGAACTCTGGAGTCCTTGGTGTCACCTAGCTTGGTTGGGGTTTTTGGTTTGTTTTGGTTTTTGTAGACATTTTATTACCCATTGGTGCAATGTCATCAATGTCAAGTACTGGTGTTATCTAATTGGGAATGAAATATCTGCAAGAAAACTACCAAGTTCAGACAGCACTAAGGACTCCACAATTAACTATTTCCAGGAAACCTGGATAAATATAGGCTTGGTTAATTTTTTACTGTATAAACTAACATTCCTAATAATAATAGGAATTATTCTTTATACTATTTATGTTGGGGTTTTTTTTGTCACGGATTGTACTAGTGAGGCTAAAACCAATTTTGTTATATGCATGATGTAAAATGACAATAAAGGCTATACTATTACATTCCTAGTGGGCTAGGCAATATCTTATTTACCCTCATTAGCCTGATTTACTCTAGCACAGACCAGTGATAAAAGTAAGCCATTTATATACTATATAAATGTATATGATTCCGTGCATTTAGAACATGAGCAGAGCCCTACTGGATCCATCTACTCCAGTAGTCTATTTCTACAGAGGCCAAACCATTGCAGGTGGCATTCAGAAGCAGCCATGCTGCCCTGGAGGCTAATATAAGCCCAACCCAAAAACATACAATCAAGGTATCAATTTTCTGAAGTATCTACTTTCTTAAATAAGACTTACTTAAGGGAACTTATTTTGAAAGGGATTATCTTAAACAAACCAGCCCAGATTAATAATAAATACTTGTGCTTCTCACACGTTTATGTGCATAGCTTAAACAATACAAAGCAATACCGTCTGCTTTGTATTTTACCTGTACATCGGATGCTAAAGTTTCATAGGTGTCCTTCAAACAATGCCAATTTTGCCTGCCAAGTGTTAAGGCCACACCAGGAAGACTGTATGCACAGTGTTTCGCAATTTCAGTATCAACTGTCTGTGCTCGAGCAGGGTCTGTCATAGATAAATACTGTTCCAACAAAGGCTGAGGTATAATGTCCTGAAGATTAAAAAGAATACTAAATTATTGATAACAATAAATTAAACAAGAGTAAGGCTATACCACTACTAAAAGTCACCTATTCTTTCAGTATAGCATTCTATCTCTTCCTCCAGATGGCAACCACACAATGCCAGTGTAGAAATATACAATGGGCCAAACACAATCAGTTCTGCAATAGGGAATAATCAGCGTCTTCTACACTACGTCACATATACTAAATGTCACACCAGTCTGCAAAGCCAATGAACTAGATAAAAGGAACTGGAAATAAGTTTTGAAATAGACACATTTTGTGTATATAGAATAGAATAGAATAGAATAGAATAACAGAGTTGGAAGGAACCTTGGAGGTCTTCTAGTCCAACCCACTGCCTAGGCAGGAAACCTTACACCCCTTCAGACAAATGGTTATCCAATTTTATAATACAGTATTATAAAATTATACACCTTTACAACACTGATGGCAGTGAATCAACCTTTGATATTTCAGACTTTGACTTAAATTTTAACATTAGTTACGCAATATAGTTATTACATTCGGAAATTGGTATAGGAAACCAATGTATTTCACAAGTAACGAATAACTGTTCAAGCTATGTTTATTTTTTTATAATAAAATCCAAGGCTGAAGAAAATTTCAAATAGGGTAAGTGAAATATTCAAACTGGGTAAATCTAGATTAAGTATAATGTTTTTTGTAATAAAAGGAGACAAGAAGTATGAATTGGATCTAGAGTCAAAATAATGCCTAGGGCCAGGTTTGAAAATAATGTTTTATCAAGCTTAAATCTCTATACATAGTAATCAAAACATGCATCAGTCAGCACTGAAGTAGAAGAGTTGGTTTAAGAATAGGGTTTTTTTTTAAAGTCTCAATTATGACCAGGAATATCAGAAAAATTGGAAACCTGCAATTTTGATTTATCTTCTTCAAGACGTGGATCATTCCCTTGTGCCTCTAAGGCTTTGTTGACATCGTTATGTTGTTCTTCTGACTTCTGCAAAAGTGCATAATAATAAAATATACAACATCACTAAAATGCAATACAACTGAAATGTAACAAAAAATCTATTTCTAAGAATTGAACTACTGTGATAAAAAATACCCAAAAGTATCATTGTATTATATTGCTTCTACATTCCACTTAAACATAAAATTGGGCCAAGTAAAGAGAAAATCAATAAACAACATTTGTTTCATTTGGCTTGGCACAAAAAGCAGAACATTTCAAGCTTAACATTTATTCTTTTTCCCGTGTCAGCATTAGGATGCCATTTTAACATGTTTCTAATAATTCACTGAAGATCTCTGAGCACCCTATCTGCAGGTTATCATGCTTCCTTTATGTGGGTATTTCCAATCTAAGTATTTATTGTGAGAACTTCCAAGGTTCAGTAATTAAAGGTAGTCGTCAACTTGAAACCACAATTTGATCTCAAGTCATACAGCGAAAACAGTAGTAAAGTAAGAATCCTACATGAATGCATCACTTAACGACTGCAATCCTGGCACTCCCGCATTGTGCTCATTAAGTTACTGTATCTCCTTGTGTTGTTAAGTGAAGTGAAATAGATGGCCTACTGATTTCAGCTTCCCTATATGCACCAAAGGGAACTCCTCTGAAGGATTGCAGGCAACAGGGCTTAGACCTTAGGGATTTGATCTCTGTTTCTATAGCCCATCAGAGGTGTTCCCCTGCCCTCAGCAGGTAGCCCTTTCACTCTCAAAGAGCTGCCTGCCAGGAGAGAAATTCAGCTACCCAGCAGGTGGCAAAAGCTTGCCGGCTTCCCCTCTGACTTTCTGGGGAAGCCAGTAGAGAAGATTGCAAATGACTATCACATGATCGTAGGGTGCTTGATAATAAGTGCAAAAAGATTGCCAAGCATCTAGATCATAATCATGTGCATAGTGGAGCAATGTTTTGCGATGGCTGATAATGCATTACCAGCTGTAAATTGAGGACTACCTGTAGATAGCTTTTAGGTTATCTTTAACATATGTTTGACTGAGTGAATCTTTTAAGTTGCATTTGCTTTCTAATGTAATTTTCAAGCCGGTTCTCTAAGAGGTACCTGGCTAAAATTCAAAGAAAATTATGGAAAATGATAGAGGGACAGTTGACCATCACCTGTCCTTTCCCACAACACATATTTACCGCATTTTTTATTATAGTTGGATCAGGTAGTTCAATCACATCAGCCAGACTTGGCAATGAAGATAAGATATTCACATCTGCTGTTCTGGAAGTACAGACCAAATTTGGGATGTCTTCTTGATAGGTATCATTAGCTTCCACATTCTGCTTGCTGTCGCAGCCACTAACAGAATCAAGATGGGCAGCTCTGAGTGCAGCAGACAGTACTTGAACCTGAGCTGATTGAATGGAATAAATCCCATTAAGTTTTTAAATACTGCACCTCATTTTCCAAAATGTTAAAAACATATACTTTCAATAAAACAGCTATGAATAATGAATGAAAATATTGTCTACACTGGTTCTTAAATCAGTGAAGGTAGGTTTATTTATGGCTATTGGGAATGTTCAGATCCAGAAATGTTTATGAAGACAAGATGACCTTGGAAGTCATATATAAACATTTCATGGAGGTTCTACATGTTAGCTGAAAGTGTCTCGAAATCAGAGGTCTACAAAGAGAGTCACAGAGCAAGAATGACATTCTGAGCAATCTTAGTAGCCATAAAAAGTATTAAATACAGAGAGATTGCCTGCTGAATAAAAATGCTTAAGATTGGCACTTAAAAATAGTTATTTGGAAATCACACGTTGATCGCTTGATTTTGTTTTGCTTAATGAAATGATTTATGCTAAAAGTGATTGTGTTGATGAAGCCTGGAGCTATTATATATAACTGACTGAGTGGAAAACAAGTGGCATTGATGCTCCCTTCATGAAAACACATGTCCTCAATATGAATCATAATATATAAAAATTACATTTGGGCAAAAGATCAAGAATGCCAATGGTTTCTTTCCATCCAATAAGATCAGGACGAATGGGGGTGCTATGGGTCCCATCAATCCCTGTGTGGCACTGGGGAGTCTTAGGTAGTATGACTTCTCGTTCATATGGATCAGCCCCCTTCAAAGATGACAGTTCCAATCCTGTTAGCCTTCTGAAAGTCATGAAGTCACCTATGAAGTACTCCTGTTTTTCTCAATCTCTGCATATCTCTCAGTTAGGGTATGCCAGAGTATGAAAATATAAGAAATGTGCATGCAAGTATAAGTCCACTAGAGGGACCTGAGTTTTACGACACTTTACTATAACAAGCATAAAAAGCCTTTTTGATGTTATTTCTATACTTTAAATTACTTTAATCTATGGTTTCTTTCATGGTCAAAATATCCTGAGATCCTGCAAATAAGACTTTTTGGAGAAAAGCTACCTGCCAAGGCGAATAATGCAATAGAACTGGGTGTTAGGATCCTAGGAGGATTCACTGGCTAGGGATTTTTTGTCTTTCACTGTGAGTTTTATTGTGTTGGGAGGGGGGGGTGCCTAAAGGGAGGCTCACTGTACACACATTGTATTATGACAATAAAGGTTTGATTTTGGTGGAAGTGCTAGCCAGGCAGTAATGTGTCTTGATGAGCTTAAGTTGTGATTCACAAGTGGGTTGACTTTACTGTGTTCTACCTGGTTTCCTACACTTTTACTAGGGGGGGAAGAACGGGATGCAGAATCTTCTCAGACCAGATGAAGTTGGGGGGGGGGAGCTATTCTCAACTAGAAGAGCTAAAATGTAGTTGGGAAATGTGTACTCCAGCAGATGCCAAAAATTTAGCCCTGACTTCCGACACTTTCTTGACAACTCCATCTTTGATGACTCAGAATGAAAATTTTTATGAATGTCAGGGGAACTATACAGAGTCTGAAAATGCTTTTTCTTTGTAAAGAGGGGCTGGAAAGAACATGCCATCCAAGAGCAGAAATTTCAAGAAGACAACACCAGGATGACTGCTAGTAAAACTTGCCTTGAACATCGGGGTCGTCCATGTGCTCCTGCAAACTTTGCAGAACTTTTTTAATTTCACTGCTGGCAACGCAGTTATTATAAAGTGCCTGTGATACCGAGGTGCTGTCATGTATCTCTGTCTTGCCCTGAAGAAGCTCTATATCTTGGCTTATATCAGGAAGAGGAGGTCGCCAGTATAAGAAAGTATTAAACACATCCTGTCCGGACTGGATTCTTGAGCTAATTTCCTGATGATATTCGCCGGTTTGACAGTTTTTAATATCATTGGTTAAAAAAGTCTCATCTCCCTGAGGTAAAATAGTCTGATCTATTCCAAAATTGATGTGTATGGCAGAACATTGATTCTGTGCATCCAAGTGTGACATTTCAGAACAAACCACAGGGGTGAAAGAAGATTCCACTGCCAAAGATTCCAATTTATTTTCCATTGAATTCTCTGATCTGAGAAGAGAAATACTGTTAAAATAACAGTGGAAAAAAAATAAAGCCAACATAAACTGAGCTCATCTAAATGTAATGGTTTAAATACAATTTCAATTATGATAGGCATGGCTTTTCTCTCAAAATTAATCCTGCTTCTGAAAACACTGGTGCTTCATAAGATTAAACAAGCTTAAATTTAACTTGTTTAAGTAACTTCATTTATTTACTAATTACGTGGCCTTCCAGGCCATATTTGCTGTGAAGTCAAGAAATTGACACTGAATTCTAAATTGTCTGATCAAGGAGATCCCAAGATCAAATAAAAGCTTTAACACACTACTGGGGATTTTTCACCACATTCAGAAGAGAAGGAAAGTAATAAAACAAAAGTCCAATGGCCCCTGAAATTCTGGATTAAATTTTGAAATATTTTTTTTCAAATTTTGCAACGAGGTTCTTTGTAACTTGTCTTGCTGTAAAAATGTGTCTTAGACTTACGATTACTACTTTATCTCCAATCTGAAATATGCAATTTATTTCCACCATGTTTTCTATGTACATCATAAAAAGATGACACAATTGGAAAAATAAAAAAAAATAAAAAATATATTATCAAAGCAAATATGAGCAAGAATAAAGTAAATTTCCCATTTCTTTTAGGGAGCATTCAGGCATTTACCTTTCTAATATTACACTTACTGCGTTGTTGTTTTTTTTAAAGAAGAGCTTCTCCAGTTCTCTTACATTTTAAAATCTCGTTTTCAAAGTTATGATTAAATACTCCTTTCAATTTAATGGCAAATAACTTCTGAAAAAATGGCACATATGATACTTGCTCATATTGAATAAACTTGTTACGGCAAGGTAACAGCCTATCCACTATTACAAGCTTCAATACTTCATTTAATAATGTTAAATATGGATTTTGAAATGTATAGTTGCATCACTAGTTATAGTAAATCATTGTACACTTTGAAGACTTATAATTATAAAGCTGGCGGGAATATTTTATTACATAAAGTACTTTTTGAAATGAATATTGAATTTTGAGCTATCAAAAATAGAATCCTTCGTCCTGAGAAATACAATAACCCCATTAATGATTTCTCAATTGGATCAAAATCAGAATTCTAGTTTCAAGCTACCCAAGTTACCCTTAATGCCAAATCACTATACCTTGATAACTTTAAATTTGCACTGTGGTCTGGGCATGGACTACAAGGGCGGATGCTGAGCGTCCCATCCTCTCGAATGTAAAGACCAGCACTGGAAGGGTTTGCAAAAGTAGAAATGAAAGGACCAAGTGATTGGAAAGCAGCTTGACGAACCTAGAATATTGGAAATATAAGAGAATATAATGGCACTGATACTGTTTAGCTAAATGTTCATGAATTACATGTAATTCAAAAGCGAAATCATCAATTCAGATTGGCATCTTTAATGCCACTTATTTGATCTTGTTACAAAATCCATAAACTCTAGGAAACAGATGCTCAGTTTCTGCAGAAGAAGAAATGTGATAATTTTGCTGTATTAGTGTGATAGAAAAAAAAAGAGAAGAACCAGACAACCAGCAGGAACATGAGCTCAACTACAACTGTCGATGTAGTTGAAGGACTAGTTTGGGGACAGATCCTACAGGAGAAAATCTATTTTGTGGTTGCTAAGAGCTGATATCAACTTGATGGTACATATTCAATCAATATTAGTAAGAACAGTATAATTGCTTCAAATGTGCACATTTTATTTTTAAGGCTACAGGCTTAAAGGCTACCAAAAAAAAAAATGGACAGAGAATTGGAAAAAAAATCTAGCCTTTATTAAGAGGCAGCTTTGATTGGAATTAATTTTGTCTAACGTCAAACATCATAGCTGTATCTGCATGACACTTCGGCCGCACTGAGCTCTACTGTATTTTTGCAAAATTTTTAAAGACTAGAGGAAAAATTGAATGCTAGATTATTAGAATGAAAAAGAGCAGAATGTTTCCACAAATCTGCAATATTGCTTGCAATGAACAATTGATTTAAGCTTAACTGTTCAAAATTTAAGGAGGCAAGCATGCATACAAAATCGAAAATATCTATTTGCCCAAACAGTAGTTCCTTTGAGTTTTAATACATGAAAACTACCCGAGTTTATTTTACAGATATAGGAGCTGCTGAAAAGAGCTAACAATATTGCTATTAAATCAAAGTATAATCATACATGGCATTTTTCAAAATATTTTTTTTTGTTTTTAGCAAACAAATGTTTACTGCTTTTATGGAATCACTCAAATTTAAGGTGAACAATTCGACTCTATTTACCCATCTGCAAGGATCACTAATGAGACCAATGAAGAGGGGAGACAGTTTGGTCCTCCGAACCTCAGGAGAAACGGTACAGGAGACAGCCATAAAGCATTCAGCACAAGCTTTCCGCATACCCCAAATGTTATCAGAGCAGAGCTCAAAAAACTTTGGAATCTGCCAAAATAAAGACACAGCAGAACAATTGATTTGTTTGTATACATTATCTTGTCTACTTGGAAAATGTTTACTTGCAAATACTGATCAGATTAGCAGGCAAAACATTCATTTAGTAGTTTGTAGCAAAGAGTAAATTATTTATCGAATGATTTAATCACAAATGAATGAAAATGTGGACGAACAGCTTAGTGTCATACTGAGCAACTCATACTTCTAAGTACATAATGCTATAACGGAAAGCTCAGTTCCTTGAGAATGTCAATCTAATTTGAGTCTCTGATTAGAAGCTGACAGCAGAACTTTAAAAATATTCATGTCTTTTTAGTAAAGCTGAGGAAAGGAATGTTAACATTGAAGGATTAACCTTATTAAATTAAGTTATCATATCTAGCTAAAGATCAAGCATATTGCAGTTTTAGCCTGAAGAGAGAAAAAAAACAGGAAGGGTGTGTGTGTGGAATTTATAAGCACCAAGTTGGAAAGGAAAAAATAGTTTCCTTAGTGGACCAGAATGACCAACATACAGCCTATCAGTGTCTTGCAAGCTGTAACAATTTAAGAAAAGCAGAACTAAAGAAGCTGCTTTCTTTTCTGAATTTAAGAATGAGATTTGGGGTCAACAAAATGAACCTTCTTTTTTCTGGCAATAAATTTGTTTGCCAACCCAAAAAGATTCAGCCATGGCTGAAACTCAAGAACATTTTAAAATGAAGACATATTTTGAGAAGCAATGAATATTACTTAATAGTGGAGAAAATAAATATTTGTTCAGCTAGATCCAACAAGTTGTAGTATCTTTGCATTCTACAGTACTGTCATATATTAAATTCTGGCAATTACTGGAATGAGTTGTCTCCAGTATAGTTTTCCCATTAATCCAAGCATTTCAGAGGAGTTGTCTGCTTTGTATACACACAGAAGACATTAATTTGGTATCCTTTATATGACATAGGGTGCTAGCGCATGAAATTCCAAGATGTGTAACTTGACGCTCAGATTTTAACATACCAAATTATTTTCTGTGGCTTCCTGCCCAACTGCGCTGCATATATCACCAAAGCTGGCTGCACAGACCTAAAGCAAAAGAAACAAACACAATGCTTTTTTGTTGCTACCATAATGTTAATCTACTTTGTGTTTCGTTATACATACATACTAACTTAATTATGGACCTTCATAAACAAAAGCCGAATGCTACACCAAAAACATGCACAGGGGTGGGATGAGAGTGGGAAAATGTACGTCCTGATTAAAATGCTATGTTTTATGTTACTTGCTTCACAGGTCAAAATGGGAACACAGAATGGTGGGATTTATATCATAAAGTAAACATGTGAGAGTCATTATTTGGAAATAATCACATTCTGTACTTTTATCAGACAGTTCTTGTATGCACCATGTATGCATATAATCTCAGTTAGCCCCATTAGAATATTTATAACAATAAGCCCTTCAATGGCCTTCAAGTGTGCATCAATTGATTTGTATTGGCTATGGCTGAATTTAGATGGTGCCAGTTGTCAATTATATTTCCTAACAGCCAGTTTAATGGGGGTGGCAGTTCAAATGTAAAACAAGATAAACTTGTTTTGACACTTATATTAAAGAATTTTTAAATGGGGAGGGGGGGGTCAATAGTACTTACAGATTAAGTTAATTTAATTCCAAAATTTATTAGGTATGTTCCAATGCAGATGACTAAATTAGTATAAAATCAACAAATGTTAACCTTCCGGACTTGAAAGAGTTTTCCATCACTGCAAAGCTCACAGAATCGAAGAAGCAGCAAGCGCTCAAGAGTAGATTTGTTCACCATAGATGCCATTTTGCAGATTATCTATTGAGAGAGAGAAAAAAAATCTTTTTTTTCTTTATTTCATAATTTTCTTTAGATTTTTAT